TTCAAATTTACATTATGTAAGCGACGATCCATCTGTTGTTATTTTTTTGCTTTGAGACGACTTTGAAACGACTTTGAAACGGATCGCGTTTTGAGCATGCCACGAAGATGTGAACATTGCCATATTCAAATAGCTACATCAAATAAACACCACTCAACACTTCAAGGGTGAAAAATATTTACTTTTTGAATATTTCCATTGAATTTGCAGTTTAATTTTCATGATATAATTCGATTATTTTTCAAACCATAATGAAGGTAGTGAAGCACTGAATATAAACATCTAGCATTTTTGATGCGATCTATATGATGTGGAACCTAGGGGAATTTATGTATTCGCGAATTGACAGGAATTCGCACAATTCGCGCGCGTTTTGACTTCAAATTCATTCAAATATTTCACGAATTTTGCGAATTCTGTGCGAATTGGTCAAATCCAAAGTATTAACAGCTGGCGCCATCTTCGTTGTCATTTGCAGTGAGAAAGCAGAGAATGTGCGAATTCGTAACGAAATCGCAATGGAACGAACAATTTCGATAAATTCAACTCACATAAATACCCCTAGTGCGGAACGCAAAATTATCCAAACGCGCACAGGTGGAATTGTAATTCCATCAATTGTTTGACATTATTTTCTTGAAAAATGTGTGCGATAATATTTTTTGAGCTTTAATTAGAATTGTCTTTGTATGTGGATTAAATTATATCATTAATGTATTGCTGATGTGACCATAGTTGAAAAATATATAAGAAGATGCGCTCGATTCGTTTGTCAATCAAACAGTTCGTCAATTTTCTTCAATTGACACGTTTACAGTATACTTTTGATAGTTCGAAGCTGGAAAAATGCTGGGTCAAAGATGTTTCACACTACTGCTCGTTGGCTTGGTGTTATCCGAGGTGAGTCGACAGTTTTAGTCTGAAATTTGTAATTTTAATGTTGCTTGGAATTTTTTTCACTTGTAAATTTTTGATCAAATCTTTTACATTTGATTCTTTTTATGGACAATATGTGATAATTCTTCTGAAACTAATTTCATTGATGAAAAAATTTCCATTTTAAAGTTTTTCAATTGAAAAAAATCTTCCACTACAAAAATCGAATGAAAAACAGTTGAAAACCATTACGATTTCATTCATTGTTCCATTCCAATTTAATCACTTTGCTTCATTTCCACAGTTCCTGATCGTGGATGTGAGTGGAGCACCATCTGGGAGAAACGGTAAGAGTTGGAGCTCCATTTCTTTATCAAGTTTCACACACAACAACCTTTTTGTTTCGATTCACTTCACTGATCTAAAAAAAATTTCACCTTTTAGTAAACGAAAAAGACATAAATGGAGAGGCAGCTCTGCATAGAGCTGCTCAGACTGGTAATTTCGAGTATTTATGTTCTAAAAAAATGTTTTGTTCAATCTACTTCATTGGTCTGCATTATTTTTCAGGTAATGTGAAGGAAGCTCAGAAACTCATCGATCAAGGAGCCGAAGTTAATATTGAAAATAATTTGAAGGAGACACCTCTTCATTTAGCTGCTTACAATGGTAATGTTGAATACTGATTTTTATTGAATAAACGATTGATTTGATCTCTTTTTCCATTGATCTTGTTATTTCTCAGGTCACAAGAATGTTGCTGAACTTCTCATCCGTAAAGGAGCCATTGTTGATAGTGAGGATAATCTCCACACGACACCTCTTCATTCGGCTGCTCGCAATGGTAATTTTGAATACTTTTCATAAAATCTCGTGACACCATTCCTGAGCACAGCAATCATGTGCAATTGAATCCGATGTGCAATTGAATCGAAAAAACCGATGTGCAATTGAATCGAAAAAACCGATGTGCAATTGAATCACACCTTATCATGTGAGTGCTGGCTGTACTCACACATATACTCAGTACTTGGACGTATTCGCGTTCACACGATATGGTGTGATTCAATTGCATATCGGGTTTTTCAGCCACACCATAAATCGTGTACACATAGCTTACACATTACAGATTGCTGTGCTCCGGAATGGTGTCCATATACGTTTCTACACCTTAAAAATGCTGTCTACGAGATTTTATGAGTTGTTTTTACTAAATAAAAGATTGATTTGATCTTATTTATCGGTCAAAATTATTTTTCAGGTCATAAGAATGTCGCTGAACTTCTACTCAGTAAAGGAGCTAATTATGAATTGAAAAATCATTTGAATAATACACCCCTTCATTTAACTGCTTTGAATGGTAATGTT